GGCTCTCTAAAGCAAATACTGCAAAATTTAAAACACCATTATACCTTCAGTGCACCTTCTCACATTTTCCCCTACTCTTCACTATCTCTGACCCCATATCCACAGTGGAGTGGTGTGCAGAATAGGCCAGCGTTTGTGCGCCCCAGTGGGATCACTAGTGTCACTATTCACACATTGAGGTTCATGTGACATTGCACTGTGGGTGACAGGAAAGCTCAATTCTTTGGAGGGTTAGGTGTTGCAAAGGCTGTTGAAAGCACCACAAGTGAAGTTGCACTGTTAGACATGTAGCATTCAATGACTTTACTTTGATTATTTGAACCCTCTGTCAGCCATTTACAGTATTAAGAGACACAGTCATTTAGAGAGGACAAATATAATTGTTTTATCTATAACAAACATGATCGTGTAAACAATTATCAACCAGAGTGCAGCGATATTATAATAGTATTATCCATATCTTTATCAGCTGGGCCTGTGTCTGATTATTGCTGCTCTGGTCCAGTGGGCATGTCAGAGTGTATGCTCTGAGGGAGGCAAGCTATGCGTTCCAGTATCAGCTGGCCTCAGAGCTGTTTCTATAATGCATGAAGATCAATACGCTGTGGCTTTGTGAGTGAGGCCTTTGCAGCCCTGTGCCCATATCAAGTATTCCCACCAACTGCCCGGCTGAGATATGTGCCAGACTACAGTCTGGATACCCGAACTGCCGTTGTTTAAGAAGAAGAAGAAGTAGTGTTGTGTTTGGGGTATTGCTGACATTTTCAGTTTTATGACAGTATTTGATGATGGCGATCTGTAATAAAGGGATATTTCACCAAAAATTTTTTGCAGTTCTTTCTGTGATGCTGGGTTCAGACTACACAAATTGATACGATGGCCACTATGTCAGATTACACGATTATAGAGTCATAAATTCTTGCATGAGGGATATGACAGACTACAAGTTGGTACCTGACAGATCACAGCCTTCCATCTTTCATGACCAGGAGTGTGTGATACTGGTTTCTTGTGTTTGGAAAAGCATAAAAAAGGGTGGGGTGGGGTGCCAAAAATGTCGTGAACAGAAGAACCATCTGTGCTCCTGTTGGTCAGCGTCATTCCACCTCATCCCAGAAAAAAATTCTGACATGCTAGACTTTGTGTTGGGACATTGTCAGGCATCCCAGAAGCAGCGTCGGTTGACATTTACTGTGACACAGTATATGAGAAAATGACTGATTGTCGTATCCAATGCCATTTGCCGATTCCGACAACCTATGTCCATCGTGTCGGGCTGTTATCAGGTTTAAATTATGTAGTCTGAACCGGGCATAAAGTTTATGTTCAAATGATTCGCTATTACTAGAGGTGCATGTGCACCTATTGATGTAAATTCATATTTAAAGTAACATAAATAACAGCAACCATGGTGCTAGTAACAGTAACCTATGTTTCTTTAACAATCTCCAAAAGCAGTGCACCTCCTACCCCGGTGCAATGACAGTTTTGTATTTCATAAAGGCAACCAAGGTTCAGTATAGATTGCTTTACGGTATCCTGTGGATTCTCATTTCATAATTTCAACTTTTATCACCAAAATGCATTTTGTGTATCCTTACCACTCAAAACATGTTTAATGGATAAACAAGGTGTTGTAAATATCTTTTCCCCAAATGTTTAGATGCCTGTATTTCCTTGCTTTCTGTGATCTTCTCTTCTTTTGCTGGCTTTTTAAAATGTTATTTATACAACACCTTACCTCATCAAAAAATTCATCACCAATATGGTCAAAAACTCCACAGGGTACCTTTATGTGACTCAAACGGTAATTTAGATTCACTGAGTGGGTTGTTTATTTTTTCAGTTGTATTTCATATTTTTAGTTTTTCAGTTTAGGGTCATGGATTGCAGCTTATTGTAGCGTACTCTCAGAACAAATTAATTTAGTGTGATATAAATGCCTGCATATAACAGTCCAACATTGTTTATATATAGTAAATGGGCTGTCCTTATATAGCACATTTTTACCTTGGTGGACAAAGCACTTTACAGTTTACAAATATTCTGTTACAAGTAAAAGTCCTACATTCAAAATGCTACTTATGTAAAAGGCATCAAAATATACTTAAAGTACCAAAAGTAAAAGTACTCATTTTTCAGAAAAGCACATTTCACATTTAATGTATATTATTGGATTATAAGTACTAACCCTTTTTTCTGATCATAAAAATTAATGTGACAGCTAGTAAAGGTGGAGCCAGTTATAAGGTAGTTATAATTACTGCAGGGTATTTTCTGAATTTCACATTAGGGATCAATAAAGTCAGATGATTCTGTTGTTTGTGGTCAATAGTTCATCTGATTTTGAAAAGTAACTAGTAACTAAAGTTAGCAAATAAATGTAATGGAGTAAAAAGTATAATTATTTGCCCCTAAAATGTAGTGAGGTTGAAGCATGAAGTAGCAAAACATAAAAATACTAATGTAAAGATACCTGAAAATTGTATTTAAGTAAATGTACTTAGTTACTTTCCATCACTAGCTGTCACACATTCATAGCCACCAGGACTTGGGGTTCAATGGTTTGCCCAAGGATACTTGGGCATGTGGGCAGGGGAGATTTGGATCAAGCCAAAAAAACCCTGCAACTAGTAGACAACCTGCTCTATCTTTGAGCCACAGCTGCCCCAATTAGACCAAGTAGCAAATACTTGCTATGTCTTTACAATAGGATTTTCAGCAGTAGTTTGATTATGGCCAAAACACTTGTTACATACAACATATTCAGATCCTTCATAAAAAACAATGCAATATTCCAATAGTGGTCCTGTTGGGAAGACTAAATTATGTATTGGATATAATAGTGCAGTTCCAGGGACTTTGTTGGATTTCTTAGGCTTTAATGGTATACTATATTTCTTGTATGGTGTTCATAAAGCCCATTAATTATGTCTAAGGGTACATTTTCTGTTGAAATTAATAGTAACAAAACATAGTGGGTAATCTATAATACTGATTTGCTTTTGCATTGGACAACATTTATCACAGCCAGATATCTTATAAACTGTTTGACTTTCACAACCTGAGCAACTGTTAAACCCAACAAGCCCCTGGCCGCTCTCCCTACAGCCTAATGGCCAACTCTAATGGCCGTTTGTCTTGGTTCATGGTAATTGGGGAGCAACTGACTCTGCAGCAAAGTCTCTGCTACCCTTTTCTGGCTAAGATTCTTCTTGTGGCCCCCTCTGGGTCCTCTACTTTGTAGGTACTAGTTTCTGCTCTAATTATAGCACAATAGTTGTTTTTCCTCACAGTGGACAGTGGTTGCCAAGCTTGAAGGTGGCCCAGCAAATGAGCTAGAGATCAAACCAGGGACACCATGATTATGAAGACATAGTATAGCTGGAGCAAAAAATAAGACGTATTCGTCAAAGCATGGTGTATTGTCCCCTTTCCGTGTTGCTGCTCACATTTTCTTTGTCATTCTTTTCCTACCTGCAGAACCACCTGGTTATCCACAACACATCATTAGCGGCAGAAAATGCAAATCAATCTTCACCGTGTAAGTCAGTTTGGGCACTATATGTGTACATACTTGAAGCAGCTGCTTCAAGTATGTACACATACAAGAGATATTAACATGACCCATGTGGTGACTGAAATGGGTAACCTAATTGAGGAATAGATATACACACATGCACACACAATCACACATGAGCACACAGAATTTCATATTTCATACTTTTTTTCTGCAAACTGTTTCCACGAGTCACAATGACCGGCTCCCCTCCTCGCCGCACACTCACAGGATTGAAATAGTGTGGTGCTGTTTGAACGGTGATTTCTCAGTCCAGCTGAATTCATGCTGACATTCCAGTTTGTTCAGTTTGCTTTCTGAAAACTCCCCTCATCCTCTTTTTAATCCTCTGAGGGGAGGAAGAGAGAGGGAGAGAGAAAGAGAGAGACTAGCCCTGAATGCTGACAGGGACATAACTTCCCTTCCCTGCATACCTTGTTTACAGTCTCCCTCCCTGCTGCTATACCCTCCTCTCTCAATGGAGCCATAAAAAACAAATAGGGGCTTTTAGAGAAATTGCTGTGCACTGAAGATTAATAACAGTAGCACCAGTTCACCCAAGAAAATCTCCAGAGGCAAACATGACATTGGAAGATTACAAGTGCCACATCCCTAAGTGCCACATCCCTAAATTGGAATGATTCGGTGCTCAGATGGCTCTCTAACCAGCTTATTGAGAGTCAAGGCTTTAGTTTACCTGCCAGACAGAGAATATCATTAAATATTTACTTGTGGATAAAGATTCACAACATGAGTATAATGATTAGCTGAACATGTGATTGACCCTCTAAGATGGAAATATGATGGCCTGAGAACTATGGCAGAATCACACAATAAGGCATTCAGTCTTTTGTGAGGTTAGGTCATCTTTTAATTGTCTGTAAACCATTAGACCTTTCTGCTGGCAGAAGCAAGGCTAGCACCAATTTGACCCATTACTGTAATTGAACAAAAGTGTAAGGGGAAGTACAAATCTTATGACTTGCTGTTTAGACCTTCATTACAACTGTACAATACACATTTGAAAACAAAGAACTTCTAGGGGCATGAGCTGCTATGATCCTAATAATTAAGAAAATTAGGTAGCAAGATTAAAGTGCACTAAATAATCAGAGGCATCATATAAATCATTTACATGAAATAAAAATAATTAATGAAAGAAACATTATAACAATAGCCTATTTTTGAGACATGTAATTTCTTGTTTTGCTGTCCAACTGCTTTCTACTGGCACATTTGAAAATACCATGACCTGGAAGGCTGAGAATCTCCACAGACTTGTAATATTATGTATAATAAGCAAAGGAAATAAAAACCTATTTAATGCTTATTGTGAACACTCAGGCATACTCCACTGTTTAACCACGACACTTCACTCTGCATATTTTCAGCAGTGCCCTCGAGTTTCCTTGGTAACAGTGAGACACGTCCCTGGCAACAAGGCCAAAGCGTCTGTGAAGTTGCATAGCAACCACTTAAAAAAACAGGCGTCACTCATGTTTAGAGAGCCACACATACATTAATTAGTTAGCAGCATTCATTTTCAGCGTGGAATCACCACGTCATTTCAGAAGACAAGACCTGTTGGATATGTTGAAGAACAAAACAAAGCTCAAAACACAAGGCTTCACTGTAAAATCCACTATGAAGAACTCCGTGGTGAGTGAAGTTATTTGACGTCGTTAGCGTCAGGTAACGCTTGGTTAACGTCAGTTAGCTTTAGCATTGTACGGAGCTTTAAGTTGGACTGCAAAACAAAAGACTGACGGCTGACAAAACATTTCGACTCTTTAGTATATACCGTTTGTAATTGAGGAAGCTGTGCAGTACAGCCTAATATGATATTTTGAGGAGAAAAATGCTTTTTGAGCACGAGCTAATTATCACAGTGTGGTGTATTATCTCTGTTAGTGAGCACAAGGTGTCTCCTTTTACACATACTTTATTTTATTCTCTAACCGTGCTTTTGGATGCTAGAAATATCAGTCTTGGAGAACAGTGGCATTTTAGTGTCAGAATGACAGAGTGAGGTTGAGCTGAATTGTGCTTTGTGTAGTAGGTACATGAGAACGTTAGTCTGGACTCCCACATGCTGCCATGAGGCACCGCTACCTAGATTTAGGTGCAATTGATGGAAAAGGATGAGGAGAGGGGACAGCCTCATACCTTCAGCTTTAAATTAGGCTATCCTCTTCTTATTGTTACATTTTCTTTAACCTTTTCTCTATTTTTTATTCAGAAGAACCTGTTATCTTTCTGCTTTTTGTGCATGCAAAATCTAAGCACACTAAACAGCCCAGAGAAATAGGATTACAATATAAAAATGAAAAGCCTGAATGTTTTCTCTCCAGTAATCATTTTTCAGTCCCTGTGTTTTTGTGTGTGTGTGTGTGTGTGTGTGTGCGTGAGAGAGAGAGAGAGAGAGCGAGAGAGACAGACTTAGTGATGAAGTATACGGGTCAGACAAGCTTGGGTGGGTTTCACACAAGAATGGAGGTTTAAGAACTTTAATATTATCCAATAACCTTTATGGGCTAAACTGACACTTTTAGAACACATTCCAAGGCTAGAATGCAATGATTAGACATTATGAAATTCATAAGCCTGAGAAAAATGCAAATGTCTTTTTATTTCATGTTGGAGATGAGACATTAACATGGAAGAGGAATGTTTTGCACTATAGGATAACATGTTTGTGGGGTAGTTGGAATTGTATGCAGCATATCAATTGTGTATTTATTTACTTTGCACTCTTAGTTTTTTTGTTTGCTTAGCAACCTGGGTTGATATATATTATAAAAAAGTATTGTACAGTTGCTTATGTAGTGGTACTCCTTGAATTAGGTTTGGGGGACAAAGATGTAGCCTAGAAGCTTCTGTACCTTGATTTCCTTGCTGAGCAGTCCCCATCTTGAACCTCCAATATAGTTAAACTGTGTTGAAGGAGTAGACTAATTTCCAGTGACAGTCAAGTAATTCACTGCAAATGAAGATGGATCATCAAAGTGTAATAGGTTTATGTAGTAGAGGGCATTAGTCTTTATTAATGGTCTGTATTGATTGGTCAGTAAAACTACCTTTTGTATGGTCAAAAAACAGATTTTTACTAGAAATCAGAACTCATTTTATTTGGAGTAGGTCTTCTAAATTTGCATGTCCAGTCAGTTTACACATGAACTGGCCTTTCCTTTATGCTGTTTGCCACCAAAGGCCACTGAAAAATGTACATGCAACTGCCTGCTGTGCTTTGGTAGATTTGGTAAGCCATGGGGAGCAGCTATGATGATAATCTTCTGAACAAAACAAGCCTCCTAGCAGTGCAAAGGCACACCTTATTTTGGCACTCATTAACCACAGCTTTTAAGTGCTTGTGTGAGGTTATGTAAAAGTAAAACGTGCCATCGCACTTTTTTAACGGTGTAATTTGTGCTAATTATAGTATTTCTCTACTGTTGATATTGTAATCTATGGGTCTGACTCATTTTACATATATAAGACTACTCACCAGGAAGTTATTTTGTCACCTGAAAGACTTTGTTTCAGCTCAAGGGAAGAAGAGATTTTCTTGTGTTTTGCTCAGTTTTAGCAGTCTGAGATTCCTCACATAATAATTCTTTACATTTTAATTTTCACTTGGCACTTTTACACAGAGACTGGTGAGCAACAAAGCATGGCACAGACAGTCATAGTGCTTAAATTGACTGGTTTACTCTTACTTGCCTAATCTCTCAAAGAATTTTCTCAACCAATTTTATAGAGACATCACTAAGCTCTTCATTAAAATTTCTTTTTTTAAAGGTGAGAATGAAGATGAGTAGCTTACAGGATAAGACTTTTTTTATTTTTTAGTATTTCCAAACCAGGCCGACATGCAAACTGGCAACATATTGTTGTTTTTCATTTTTCAGAGATATTGTGAAATCTACTAGTGTTCATGCTGTTCACGAAGAATAACTTGATTTGTTTTGATGTTGTTTATGTTGACAGCTTTGACTTGGTTTTTGGTGAAATGAGAGCACTGCATCGGCTACTGAGGCATTCATGGTCAGCAGTCATTTAATTAATTAATTTGAGGAAAGTATCAGATTAATATTTTTGTCAGCAGTCCCCTTGGCTTTCACTCCCATATCTTGGATGCTTTGAGTCAAGCGATTTAACTAGGTCTTCTCTGAGCCGGAAGTTTTCTGCAGACAGCTGTTGCCTTGTTAAATTCACACTGCACTTAAAAGAATCGGGCCTATGTGATAAATAGAGGTGGAAGAGCTGCACAGTTCTGATGACAACAGTAAATACTTGGAATTGAAGCTCTCTTCTTTTTTTCTATGGCAGGGACTGTTTTGAGATGCAAGTCAGAGTCATCATTGACTTCCTCCCCCTTTTTTGAAGGTCATAAACAAATCTCCTGTCAAGAGCTTTCACAAGGAAGGCTTCTGCAAAGCCCTTTAATATTCACCATCTCCTCAGAGATCTGCTACGTCTGGAACATGAATGATACTCCCACACTGCCATACCAATGGCTAAATCCTCAACAAAAACCATTAGGTTTTTCAGAGGCTTGCTTGTGTCTGTTGCCTTCTGTTTTTTTTTTCTCCACTCCTGTGGTCACTGACATATCGCTCTGGAGAGGGCGGCTTTGCAGAAAGCTGTGATTTGTAGGTAACAACAAGGCCATTTCAAGCCTTGAAAGGATATGGGGGCTTGAAGCATAAACTTATTATACTTTAAAGTATTTGTGGTCATAGAAATTGGATCAATAGTACAGGCCACTGAAGTCCTTCTCTAGTGATTCATTGCCAAGCATTTAAAGAGCAAAAAGTTGAATTTTACATTCCTGTGGGAGGTTGTCACCTTGTGTTTCAGTGAGAGAGGAACTAAGGTGTTATTTTCTGGGTTAGAGTGACTGATTTGATAAGTGCCCTTTTTACAGGACAGTGTTTCCCCCCCTGGTTTTAATTTTTAATTTAGTTTTTAAACAATTTTAATTGTGTTTTGTTGCATAAAATGTCAACTAAAAGCATGCGGTAACTATGCCTGACAATATAAACTGTTAGGCTATGAATTATTATTAAATGCATGTTAGGCTGCATCAGCAAGGAATTGTGCAAATACAGCATGTGATCCCTGCACTGTTTACATGTCTGCTCATACTTAGTGTGGCAAAATCTACTGGTAGTTGTTGGCAAGCCAACCTTCATTTCAATACAATAATCCTGGGCCATTATAAACTCACATTTGAAAGTTTAACTATTCATTTGATCTTAAATACGTGTTTATATTTTGGCTCAAATCTTATACACACTTCCAGTTATGTGCTACTGCAGGTCTGCAGATAACTTTTTTTAATTATTAATTTTTTGTTCAGCTTGAGCATCAGGCCCCCAAAAGGTCTGTGCACAGCCCTGATGTTATCATTATAAAATCATGTAACAGCCATTTTGTTTTACTTAATTCAGTCATGATAGTTGCGTTATTCTTGGAGGTACCATGTTTTTGCCGTAATCAATCATGAGTGAGTGATGCATCCATCCCACCTATAACCACTTTCAGCTGACATGGACTGACAGCTAACTGTTTTGTTATGGTGGTCAAAAAATACCCTGCTAAGGCAACTTACATCAACTTATATATAGTAACTATGTCAATATCATCTATGTTTTTTGTATTTTTCATGAAGGTAGCATGTACTCAATCTTGTCTACAAAAGTAGTGACTTTTGGACTGGTGGAAATAGCTGATTTGGTGATTTAAAGGTGTGGAACCAGACTAGCTATTTCATCTCTCTGTGTAAACACCTAATGTACTTAAATGTAGAAATACTTGGTCAGTAACTGTTGGATCAGTCATGTACTGTAGCTAGGGATTCTATAAGTCTATTACCTCAATGGATTTATAGCCTCCTGAAGCTGTGGTCGGAATATGTGACCTTAGGTCATCATCATGCCCTGTATTTGATTTATGCATTCTGTAATGGCTTGGCTGTTTGCCACAACACATCCTGCAAAGCTACCTCTTTTTGTGTCCTGTTTTTACTCTTTAAAAAGATTCTCTGAGAATATTACTAAGAGCTTAAGTGTCCCCTTCTCTTCTGCTTGTTTATTAGAAGATATGAAAGAAAGGTTGAAAGATCTTAATGTCTCAACTCTCGTGTCCTACAATACATACACAATGCAACACACACACACACAAGAACATAGACATGATCCTCTTTAAAACCTTGTATTGCACAGTTCACCCACAGCAAGAGGGCTAGCTGTTACAAACTGCGCCTAATCCCAGCCTCAACTTTTTGTGAGGGTCTGAGGATTGCTGAGCTGATAGACTGCTTTTATAAAAGGACACCTCATTTACTGTTTGCTTGGCCTCTGGGATAAAAGTGGAGCTGCAAACAGAGTCCCCTAGTCTGCTCTAATCTTTCCCTCAACCCACCAACCCCTTTTCCCCAGCCCCACCCTCATTCCTTTATCACCCCACTAACCCCAGGGGACAGATGGAGACTCCATGCTAGCAAATATGACCTTCATATCTTATTCCTTTCCTCCCCCACAGCATCATCATTATATACCTGAGCAGATGTCTTGGCCCCCTATGCTGTCTCCCTGTCTGTCTTTATCTGTTTCACTCTCGGTGTCTTTATCTCTCGCTCATTCTTTCCCCTGCAA